CTCAATTAGTATTTACCACGCTGGGGCCTGTGCAGCCACAGATTCAGCTTCATTTCAACAGATTCAAGCCCATTTTGAACGAAAACAACAAATTGGATTTTTGCTGCTTCTTACCCATTCAGTCCAATCTAACTTGTATACGACCAACATGTCACCCCTGTTCAGGAGAGTGAACTTTTTTTTTAATCGTACCTCCTTTCCATAACAACTGTAATAGTTCTCCAGGCTGTTACAAAAAATAGCAAAAGAACAAATAATGTTTCTCATTTGTTGTCAGATACCCACCGGCCACCACACCATACTCCTCCCTGCAAGGAAAAAGCCACCCACAGTGGATCGATTGGTGCGGACCATGGCCTGCAACAGGACAAGGAAATACAAAACAAGCTTATTATCCATTTTAGCTCTAAGTTAGTGTTCTATACACTGAGCAACACAGAACACCAGGAATAGTTTACAGATTAGCCATGACATTCCTTTATGATTCATTTTTGTGCAAAAAAAAATTAGTTTAATCTGTTTGTTTTACCTAAAGCAGCAGCAAAAAAAGCATTTAATTTTTGTAGCAATTTGCTTAAGCAGTTTACAACTCACAGCAACACAACTGTAAATAAATCATGCAAACACACTTTCGATTAGTTGACAGTTTGCAACACTTACAATAACTCCCACAGCCAAGACAACCAGAAAGTAGATGACGATAACAGAGATGTCGGCTGCATTGTTGATACGGGTGGTGGGAGATTGACTCCTTTGGGTTTCCAAGGTGCGGGAGAATCCAAAATAATCCCAGGACATTTTGCTCAGAGTGGAAGTGTTGGACAGGAAGGCTGAAGCAATGAGTCCACTGTGACTGAAGCACACTTTCAACACTTACCTTTATATCTTCTGTTTGTGTGTGGGACAGAAAGAGGGAGGGGAGAGGGTTGGTTAATAGTGTACGTGGAGAAAGAGATAAAGGTGGAAGGACGGTGGATGTATGAGAAAAAAGAGCTTTACTGTCAGGATGTTTTGTTATAAATATTAATGCAGCAAAATGTGTAAACCTTTTGGAAATTATAAGGTTAATCATCAATCTACAAGGAAGGAAAAGCCACTGTTGTTCCTGTAACAATCTATTTATTTTTTCCTCATTTTGTTATTCATTCTTGCAGAGGTCTGGCTATTAAATCACTGTTGTTTCTTAACATAAAACACATATATAGTATAAGTTTAGTTAAAGTTTAGTTTTACAGTATATGAATATGCAGCAGATGTTAACTTTCCTTTTTTACTTAAAACAATCAAAAAGGAGCCAGGAAGTACTGATTTATAGGCATTTACTCCACAAATCTTGTAACTTTCTACTCAGATAGATGCAGATATATAATTCTTCACTTTAATAAGTGAATAAGTGAATGTAATTTCTTTATAATTACATGATTCCTTACAGTGTCGAGTGTGGCAACAGTCTTTTTGTAATTTTCATCTGATGGTGTAAATTATTTTAACAGCATAAAATTCTCCAGAAAATTTACGAAAGGAATCCACGGATGATCTAACTCAATATATATCGTTGTACGTTAACACTATTGCTCCATTGACATAATTCACTGACACACTGTAACAATTTTGCGTCTGTATACAAAGGTGAATGAAGAAATTTGCCCAAGACTAACTAATATGTTGAAATAAAAATATTTATAAACTTTTATCTATAGTTAAAAGAGAGATTTTGTCCATAATTTAAAAATTCTTAGTTATATAAAATATCTATTACTCCCTGACACCGCTGGGCTCTGCCAAAAAAGATTGTGGATTTTATTGTGGAAGTATGTAACAAACAAATAGCGCCCAGTCTCACCTTCAACCTGTAGTATGAACATTAAATGTTCTTGATAATGATTTATTTTTATCTGTGTGTTAATAATTAGCTTGTGGAATAATAACAGATAGCTAAGATCCAAAAAGAAAAAGAAAGAGGAAAAAGTCTTCCAGCTGATCAGCATAATGAAATGCTAAATGTTACATTTAAATTGCTGTTTTACTTTAATTAAAAGTATTGAGACTTTTAATACTTACTTTAATACATTTAATAAGTAAAACAGCAATTCAAACATTTGTCTGGTTTTATATAATGAGAATAAATTGAATATCACCATTTTATTTGATCAATCTGTAAATAATTACAATTTGAAAATTTTCTAAAATGCAGGTTCTCATCAACAGACATTATGGTTATTAAATGGCCATTATGATCCTCATCTTTTTACAGACAATGCGAAGACATGTAAACCAATTCTATGGGACTGTCTCAAAGCCTTGACATATAAAATGAAGTGTTTGTGCAACTCATGACAAAAGCTATTAAATCCTGTGCTTCTTGTAGGCATCCTCTCTTGTAAAACTTGTTTTGCTCCCTCTTTCTCCAAAGTTGTTTTATTGTTTCATGAAAAGAATTTTTATGATCCGAACTATATAAAAAAATCAAAGGATATATCAGAATAATCTTATCAACTTCTTTCACCTGTTATTCTTGGTGTATTTAATCATCAACTAACGTGCGTTTCGAACTGCTTTTCAGGTTCATGTCTAGCTTTTTAGCTGTATTTTCTAATAACAGTAAATAATTACTCCAGATTTATCCACAGACTCCAATACTTCACTGTTAGGTGACTTTTTAAGATTGTGCTGGATTTTAATTTTGCTATATATGGTACAACGAAATAAATATGCATGACATATTTTTCAGATTTTTCTGATCCATATATGTTTTTCCTCCCACTTTCAGAGTTTTACATAACTTTGTGTTGGTCCATCACATAAAATCTCAATGAAATACCAAGATATTTAAATCCGGAAAGACTCAGACGGAGAAAAAGGAACAATTAAAAGATTTAATGACAGGCATGAATAACAGTTCGTTAGCGCTCGGGCCCCCGGTAGCTGATTTGAGCTGAGATTTGATGTGAACTCGATGAACATCCCGATAACTGATTAGGGATGCTCCCCCCCTGGGCCCTACACTGGTGGTGGAGGTCGGGAAAGGGTGCTATTCTGGAGAGCTGAAGGTTGTGGGTGGAGAAGGGGCGGTGGTGGGTTGAACGCAGCTGGGAAGCGGCTGACGGCTTGGATATGGATCCTTTTATGCAGAGCTTGATTGATGATTGGACGCACCGGGTGAGGACGAGCGCTGAGGTCAGAGATGAGCATGAAGCCGATGGGCAAACGGAGGGGGCGGAGTCTTCCAGCTTGAATTTTCGCTATCAGCTCAATTTGTTGTAGTATGATGAAATGTGGGAAACTGAAGTACAATTTATACCAGCAAAGTACTATCTTAAAGTTCTGGGACCATTCTGAATTCTTATCAGAATGACATATATGTTTTACAAATTGGTCCAAGTCATGGTTCAGTTCTTAAGTGCTTGTGTTATTTGCTCAGATTAGCTCTTATGAGAGGTTTTAGTGACTGTGGCCTCAGACGTAGAGGGACAGCATGCAGTAAATAATTTAATGTAACATGTTTCAGGTGTAGGGATGGTCAAAGTTCCCTGAAGAACCCGAAATAAAGGAGGAATGAGCCAAAGTTTATGTGTGTCTCATCTTTTTATCAGCCAAGAAAAAAAAGAAGCTTTTTAAGCAAATAAAGAACTTGAGCATGGTTTTGTTTGTCCTTTGTATTTCCCTTAAAGGCCTAACTCANAAAATATTAAACATAAACAGGATTTTTACTTTTCAGTTTCTCCAAACCAATTATTTTGCATTATGAGATCTTGTCTTTCCTATTTGGAAAACATATCACAAATACTCACGTTCCACTCAAATCCACCAATGGCAATTCCAGAAGCTGCAGCAGTACCAGCGATACCTACAAAGTGGCCGCTGCCAATGTTGCTGGCAAAGAGTGATGCTCCGATCTGTAAAAAAAAAAAAATAAATAAAAATATATTTAATTTACAAAGGGGTCCCAAAACAATCAATAAATACCAGATGACTTGCTCTGCTGATAAACACATATGGAACATTTTCTGTCTTTAAGGCCAACACAACATGATATATCTCATTTAGGACAGGTTTAATGTAAGGAATGCAAAAGTTGTAGCTCATGCCCTGGATGAGACTGTGTGTGTGGAGACTCTTGAGACTCTAATTCTGACTATAGCCCACATCTTATGAATCTCCCCAAAACTATTGAAAAGGATCTGCTCGTCAGTCCTGTTGTTGTGGATTATACAGTTGCAGGAAAACCTTTTTTCTATCTCACTTTTTCCTTCCAGTCAATTATCTATTAATCTGTTTCGATACAGCCCTCTGTGAATACTCAGCTCCTTTAGCATTGACTTTTTGTGACTTTCCTCACTGATAAGACAACTGTCAAGTCAGCAATCCTCCATGTGTAGGCCTTAACTTGGCCACACCATTTGTTATTGGTGTGTTTGTCTTTCTTATTTTGTGGGGGCATGGGTAGGTCGTTTATCTATGCTGAAATAATCATAATGAAGTCTATCCACTAACAAATGTATGTATAATATGCAGTAAGGTGTCAAGACTTGTTATTGGATTTCTGAATATATTTAACTCTTTGATTATGGTGTAAGACACTCAACTCCTCTAAACTGTGACAACAAAAAAACTTCACCTCATTGTAGATAAGTTTGAAAGAACCACCTCATTTACTATGGAGGACCAAAACCGACATAACAAGAAATTAAAGTATAAATATATGTTTTAATAAGAAATAAAAGCATAAATATATATGTAGTTTTTCCTTTTCCTTACACGAGTTTCCATCAAGTAATGTATATATTTTTTTAATTTTCCCTAAACATGCGTTTTTGCAAAGAAAAATAGATATTTTGCGTTGTCTTTTTTGCTTCTCCCTTTTCTGCTCGCTGTATTTCTGCTTGCTGTTTTTCCGTTTGCTGTTTTTCTGCTGCATCGCTATGTTAATGAGGAGAGCTGCCTTCTATGTCTACTATTGGCCAATAGAGCTTTGGAACCAACTAATCCAATCTAACTTGTATGTGACCAAAGTGTCACCCCTGTTCAGGAGATTTAACTTTTTTTTTTAATTGCACTTCTTTTCCATCACAACTGTAATAGTTCTGAAGACTGTTAAAAAAATTAATCAGTTACAAAATGTTTCTCATTTGTTGTCAGATACCCACCGGCCACCACACCATACTCCTTCCCGCAAGGAAAAAGCCACCCACAGTGGATCGATTGGTGCGGACCATGGCCTGCAACAGGACAAGGAAATACATAAACCTTTGTTTTGCAAAACAAGCTTATTACCTAGTTTAGCTCTAAGTTAGTGTTTTGAGCTTTGGAACCAACATCACTGCGTCTGACGTTTACGTCGCCATCTCTCATGGCCACTGACCAAAACAAACTAGTCACAATGAACACCGGTGTTTTCATTGTGTTACCGAGCGCAGAAAAGTTGTTTTGCAAATTGGATACTGGATATTCGCCCTCCACGGAGTAAGGGGCGTTCAGGTCTAGGTTGATCCGATTTATGAACGCTAATTTCGGCCAGCTATTCTCTACGGATCCCTCCTCAAACACTCGGAGGTTCACATATGGACCGTCAATTTCCTTCTTCTTCTTCTAGTTGACTTTTATTGGCGGTTGGAAAGAAACGTTAGGTAAGCATTACCGCCGCCAACCGGTAAGGAGTGTGGACCACATGACAAAAAACAAAAACTATGTCCTATTAAACAACTGACACTGTTTTAAAAAATAAAATAAGGCCTCATATCGTCTACTTCCTGAATCTTTTTGTAATAAATCAACAATATCAAATTACATTTACTTAGTTTACTTAGTTACTAGAAACCCTGCAGGGAGGCTGAAATAAGAAATAACCAGAAGGATAAAATAGAATTAAACTATAGTCATTAAATAAGTCTTGACATGGACTCAGACAAACAAGGAAAATCAATAATATAATTCTAATTACACTAAATACCTCTAATAATATCAAAAGGACCATGAAGGGCTAAGCTAAAGTGAATTAAAAAATGAAGCTAAATAAAATGAAAAGCTAAACAAATCCAAAAACCCAGTATCCTGACAGATGTCTGATTATATAATTGTTTAATTTAATCAAATAAAGTATTTATTAAAAAAAATATAATATTTCATTATGTATATGTTAATTGCCTGAAATATATAAATGTCAAATTTTTACTTAAAATGTGATTTATTGCTTCACCTGTTTACATGTATCTTGAAGTGCTTGAATCAAACGTTTCATGAATGTTTAATGCATTAAATTATTAAATGAGAGAAAACAGCCACTTCCAACTGTATTTCAACACAAATGGTTCCTGTTCCTCTTCAGAGTCTGCAGCCTTGCTGAGCTCCTCTCCTGGGATTTCCTCCTCAGCCTCTCCAACTTGCTCCTCTTCTGTTGCCTCCGCTGTTCTGTTTTCATTATTTACCTCTTCTGGGGTAAATAATGAAAACAGTCTCTGTAACTTGTTGATCCACCACGGTCTTGCTGTATCGCCTCTTTAACTGACGCCCATGTCGGTCCGATGTTGTGGCGTTTACCTTGCAGTGACCCATATTCAGCACTGGAACCCAGTCAGGATTGAGCTCTTCCATTTCATGCATCGGTTTGTCTTTAAGAGGACATATCAGAACACACATCAGTATTAATACTGTAAATTTGATAACACTAGAAAACTTAAATAGTTTACTTCACAATAATGGAATAACCTCGATATCCACTCACAAAACTTGGACTACGCTACATAAACAATATAAGCCCAAGGTTGACCCATTTAAATGAACTCAACATAAACTGAACATGAGTACACTCGGACAAAATCATTTGTCATTTTTTTTTCTCAGCAATCTCAGATTCAGCAGCAGAGATTGAGTCCAAAATCCGATGTGAGATTCATCCGTGCTGCAGTGAATCCGTCTCTCTTTATAGATTTCTCCCACTTCTTCCTCACATCGTGTCTTTAGGAAACCTTCAAGACAAAAACGGAAGATTTAGG